TTGTATTTGTAACTTCAGGGTAAATTCAATATATTGTAGATTCTAAATTGGTTTTTATTGTTCCTTTCGTCCGACTCAGATAGAGACTAGGAGAGTACAGGATTCTGCTTATACATATCTCCGGCTTCAAAAGTAAGCCCATAACCTCAGCTCTTTACAAGACCTGAGACCTAGGAGTCCTTACCCCTATCCCGAAAATCCCTTATCTTCTCGTAAATCCACGAAGACAAACCAGTCAGTTCGGAACAGTGGGGCCAGTAAGCCTTGCAGCCGCTCGCAGGGTTAGCATCCTTTGAGGGTCTATAAAGTATTTCAGTGGTGACAGTGGAGTCGCCCCTTGTATTACATCTGGTGACAGCCAGAAAGTGTGTGACATAACATATTTGGCGACAGCGGTTCCGGTTTGGGGGAATTTCGGAAAATAGGGATGATTAAGTCACTTCTTCAGTATCCTTGTAAACTGTTGCAAGTTTTATAGTTATAAGAAGCCTTCATCGTTAAAATTTCATTTCACCATCGACATTCCAATATTCTTTCTCCTAAGACGACAACAGATTAAAGAAACAGTGAGGTATCCAGTAAATATTGTATGGAGTGCAGGACTCTCTTTTCTGGTAGAAAATCCTTTTTCTCCCCTTTTCTTTTTCTTTTCTCTTTCTCAACATTGACGTGTTAGAAATACAGACCCCCGTGAGGTTTGAAAAATTTAGGGTATAAGCAAACCAGTTAGCCTAGATAATTTTCCAACAGATCCATTTAGTACAAAAAAAAGTATATAAACTTGTTAGTGGTTTTACACAAATTATTCGTATATAGTCGATTTTTTTTCTTGTATCATATAAAAATATCATATAAAATAATGCAATGAAAATAAAATGAAAATAAAAACACAGGAGAATATATATATATATATATATATATATATATATATATATATATATATATATATATATATATATATATATATAATGAACTAGAAGTATTTGCTAACAACAAGGAAGTAAATTTTCAATATTGGGTTTGCAGCGAAAAAAAAAAAAAAATTAAAAGAGTACACGTATCATTTTTATTGCTGCAAACCCAATATTGAAAATTTATATATATAAATATATATATATATATATATATATATATATATATATATATATATATATATATAAAATTTGAATGTGAGAGAATTTGAAGATGGAGACAACGTATATCTGAGAGACTTAAGTAGCACGACAGGTCTTTCAAAGAAGTTACAGAAAAAAATGTTACTATCCATACCATTTCAAATTATAGAAAAAGTTGGACCAGTGACGTATGCAGTAGGTACAAAAAAGGGAAAAATAGACAGGTGGTGTACGTCAACAGGTTAAAGAAATACTACGGGAATGAAAAAAATGAATACTCCACAGAGGAAGGAAAGAAATAGGAGAACCAGAACAAGAAGAAACGGAAGAAGAAAGAGTTGACCGTTCGAAGGTGGCAACACTGCCATTATGGGAACCAGGAACCCCAATTAACAAACCGCAGAGAAGAAGAAAAGGAAGTCAGGGAGACATCAGCCAACAAAAAGATCAGAACGAATAAAGAAAAGACTAAAATGTTGCTGCATTCTCCACAAAACGAAAAAGAAAGGATGGAACACATACAACAGAATAATAAACAAGAATGAGACAGCAAAAATAACACAGAGCGATGAGGACACAGACATGTTTTTCGACGCAATAGATGAATAGCGAAAAATACCAAAACAACTATAAGAAAAGTTGAAAGCTTGGTATTACAAGAGACGGCCGCTCGAATAATACTAAAATTTTAGTGACCTCTTTCCTAAATTCTCTATTAATGAGAACATAATCTAGAATTGATTTTTCATTTCTGCTCCTGACTTCTCTCGTGAACTTGTGTATATCTTTGTGTTAAAAAAATGTGTTGGTGATAATCAAATTATTCTCCATGCAAAAGTCTATCATCCTTCTTCCATTAACGTTTCTTGTATCTTCCCTCTGCATACCCATAATATCTATGTTATCATCGTCTCTTTTACCAACTCTGCTATTCATATCGCCTAGAATGACTATTCTACCTTTCACATTTTCTATGGCATCATTGAGCTCTTCCCAATATTCTTCTTTAACTTTCAATGGTTCGTCATCATTCGGGCCATATGTGACTAATATAGTTGTTATTTCTGATTTATCTAGTGTTATCTCTATCTTTAAATTTCTTTGTGATATACATTTCCAATTTTTAACATATGACATATAGCTGGCTCTCATTAGGCATCCTACACCTTCTGCCGCTCTACTATCGTTACTGACTCCGCTGTACAAAAATACATGTTCTTTATCCAATTCATCCATTCCTTGACCTTTCTTTTTAGTTTCCGTGATCGCCAAAAAATCTAATTGTGCTTTGTCAAATTCATCTATTAATTCTCTCTCTTTTCCATTAAGGCTTCTGACGTTCCACGTAGCCATTTTTATGTACTTTTGTAGTCTGTTTGCACCTTGATCTTGTATTATATTTTCTTTTTTGTCCAATTCGATTATATCGTTAGACCTTATTCTCGCCTTGTTTGGTATTCCATGTTGATCAGTTCTATTTGGCCGATGGTCTGCTATTTCTTCCTGGCTTTGTTGAGAGCCTTCATCTCCCTGTTCCACGTCCCAGTTAAATATAATTACGGATGTAAAATAGTAGTATATTAGTGTAAGATATTTAGTTTATATATTTAGTTTATCGATTATTCCAGAACTTTCATATATTGATGAGATGAAGAATTTCGAACATGGTTTATTGCTAGAAAAGTCTGGAACCATAAAATAATATAAATACCAGGTAATTTGGAGCAGGCAATGAATTAGTTAGAAGAATTCAATAATTCAATAAGTCAGTCAGAAATTAAGTTACAGTTACTAAGTCAGTTATAGTCAATTATTAAGATAGTAGAAGGTATTAATTAAGTAAGAAGAAGTCAGTCAGTCAGTTATAATTGATTAAGTGAGAAGAATTCATGAAGGGATTAAGTTAAATTAAGTTAGAAAAAGGATTAAGTGAGATGAAGTCAGTCAGTCAGTTACAATTAAGTTATTAAATTAGATTTATCAAGAAAGTTAGTTTAAGACAGTTATAATTAATTTTAATTAGAAGAAAGGATTAACTTAGAAGAATTCATTAAGTCAGATACAGTTGGAGAGTATGAGAGTAAATTAATTCAATAGTTCAATACAGGAGTATCATTAAGTCAGATACAGTTGGAGAGTATGAGAGTAAATTAATTCAATAGTTCAATACAGGAGTATAGTATATTATATGGAAATTACATGAATTTTAAATTATAATATCTATATGCAATTTCACAAATACAAGGATAACCTAGGCTGATTAAGAAGATATTTAGTGGTGATTATAACTTTGATTTTGGAAAACTTTAGGCATTCAGTGATAGAAAGGTACCAAATTTTGTTAATATAATTTAATAATTGTAAGAAGTTCAAAGTTTAGATAGGTTGTTTTAAATTTATATTGTTTATATTAGATATATATGTCTGTTTCATAATAGTTATAATAAAGATAATTTAAAAAGTACTTACAAACTAATTCTTTGAGAACCGCGATAAAAACCCTATACTCATATATTTTATTTTAAACACTCATTGCTCATATACAAACAAAACATCATAACAATATACAAATATATATATATACATATATATATATATATATATATATATATATATATATATATATATCTATATATATATATAAGATGGTGGTATTGTTGACTGTTGATTTAAATATAAATTATGATTTTTGAGGATGCAGTCAGTTTATTTGGCCCACAAGACAAAGAAAACTCTTTGACTTACTGTCAACCTTTCGAATTTTATTTAATTCTTTTTCAAGACATCTATAAAAAGAAATATAAATTAACTAGTTAAAATTGTTAATTGTCTTACTTACTAGTCGTGAGATTACAGTTGTTAATATTATTGTACTCTACAAAACAAACCATTATAAATGTATTAAAATTTTTTTATTAAAAATAACTATATTGTCACTATATATGTCATTGTCATGGTTTGATTAATGGACATATATGAATGAAAATACAGTTACTTTATGTGGAAAGCAAAACCAGTAACAATAGTTTTTATTATAATTTATTTAATTGTCTATAAAAAATATAAATTAATCCAGTCAGCAGTTTGGCTTAAGCACATATGAATTTTTGATGACTGGATTAATTTATATTTTTTATAGACAATTAAATAAATTATAATAAAAACTATTGTTACTGGTTTTGCTTTCCACATAAAGTAACTGTATTTTCATTCATATATGTCCATTAATCAAAGCATGACAATGACATATAAAGTGACAATATAGTTATTTTTAATAAAAAAATTTTAATACATTTATAATGGTTTGTTTTGTAGAGTACAATAATATTAACAACTGTAATCTCACGACTAGTAAGTAAGACAATTAACAATTTTACCTAGTTAATTTATGTTTCTTTTTATAGATGTCTTGAAAAAGAATTAAATAAAATTCGAAAGCTTGACAGTAAGTCAAAGAGTTTTCTTTGTCTTGTGGGCCAAATAAACTGACTGCATCCTCAAAAATCATAATTTATATATATATATATATATATATATATATATATATATATATATATATATATATATATATATATATATATATATAAGTAGAAAGTAATAGCATGTCTCGCAAAACAAAAAAAAACCAAAACTGGTATATAGATGAAAGGCAACCGTATATACGTATTTCTGACTATTGGTCGTCTTCAGTACTTTGCAGCCAAGTTAGAAAAGGAGCATATTAACTTGGGAAAGGATCACTGCAGGAGCAATACAATATATAAATATAAATATATATATATATATATATATATATATATATATATATATATATATATATATAATACTAATAATAAACCGACCTGTATTAAGTTACGTTACATTTTAGAAAAGATAATTATTTACCTGACTGTTTAATTCGTTCACAAATTTCTATGTATATCATTATACTGTCTGGAGATATTTCAACATGTTTCCGAGTTTCATTTGGTTTAATAAGTTTCTTTTGCATTGGAGTTTCATGTCGAGAAAGCACATATCTAAAAATACCTTTAATTTTATAACGATATAATAATAAATAGTTTTGTATTTATCTCCTTTCGTTCATGTGAAATTTAAGTAGATTTCTAAGTTTAAGTATTTGGGTAGGGTTTTACCTTTGAGAAAAACTTTGACGTGTCATTTACATTTTATTATCTTGGAAACTTAATCCACATCCCTATAAATACTACCATTTTTCTCAATAAAAGTGTAAATATTTTTAAAATTATTAAGTTTAAACCTATAAAACCTTATATAGACTTTCCATATTTTAAAAAAATATATTCAAAACTGGTTTAATATACCTGGTGTTCCATTTAAAAAACTCAACTTTGGTTTATTTCGTTAAACTAGCGCCATAAGATGCAATCGTCACGAGTAGCGAATTTCGATACGTTAACGATATTTACATAATTACGATACATTATCGATATTGCAATCCAATAGTCCAGACGATTAGCAGTGTCGACACAAATTGGAGACAGATCGTCATCAATTAATTTCTTGTAAATACTGTAAATTTCATGTTTTATAGTAAGTTGTAATTTAATTAAATACATTGCTGTTACTCTGTTAGTTGTAGCTTTAAAAGGACTTTTTTTTTAAAGAAACTTCGAGAGTGACAACCCTTAAGTCGCGCATTCAATGAATTAGTGGGAGAGTCTCCAGAAGATCCTCGACGTTTTCAAACGTTTACCCGCTACCCAACCAACTTTGAAAATACACTGTTTAACCCACGGATTTCAGGCAAATTGGCACAGAAACATATTTATGAAGAATGCCGAAAAGAAACTTAAAGAAAAAAGAAATTGTACCAAAAAAGAATACATCCATGCATCATCCTATACAGTAAATTACATCTTATTTCTAATTCTAATGTCATTTCGCAAGTATCATCCTTTAGAATAAGCGATTCTTTTTCAACAATTTTTGAATCTAACACAGAATCTAGCGAAAATATTTAAGATATACATTTAGTCGACAATAATCATATTCTAAACTCCATAAATTCTTTTGAAATACATTCTATAATTATTACACCAGCATCCAGGTGAAATAATTCTAATATGGCACCCATTTTCGATGTTAATAAAGATCTTTCTAATCTACCAGAGTACAATGGCAGAGTAAAGTGAACTTCACAATTTTATTGATGCTATTTCCATGCCTTTAAATCATTTCTGGGATAATACAAGTCCCAAAAATTGTAAAAATCATATGCTTAGCCGAGGAATTATGAACAAAATTAAAGGAAGAGCCAGAGAAATTATTTCTATATACGGCTGTAAAGACTGGCCGACAATAAAATCAATTTTTGTCCAATATTTTACGTAACGTACCAACGTATAGTACAACGTAACAAAAACTCATTAACTAGAGATTTAGTCAATATTCGTCAAGTCCCAAACGAAAATCCTCATCAATTCCATAAAAAAGTCATGAGTCTTTTAAATACCATTTCAATTCATATTGAATTGCACGCAGAACATGAGGTAGTTACAAGAAATCAAGCAATATACTAGCCACATTTTTGTCAGGTCTAAGAGAACCCTAGGATCTCGCTCTTTCTATCCAATATATTCAGGAAGAAAATAATATTTGATATCTCCAAAAATCTCATAATTATTCCTTATTATCTTTTAACAAACAATCTGCCACTTCACAAACGCAGACACAATTTAAGTCATACATCCTCTCCTACACGATGGGTGCTAAGCCACAATGATCATAGCCATTCGTTAGGTCAAATCAAATGTCTTTACAACAACAACCATTCAACAATAGTCCAAGAGGGACATCCCAACTCTCTAGATTCCAACAAAATCAACAAATCACTCCAGGTGTACAAAATTACAGGTACAGCCAACACCTATGAGCTTTCGTGTATATCAAACCGACTTAAGTAGAACTCAATCTCAAAGATTTAATAGAACTCTTAATAATAATAATAATAATAACTTAATAATAATAATAATAAATCGCCACTGTAGTGGCGAAGCTTAATCATCTGTTGTATATGGATGATTTGAAACTAATGGCTTCCACTCGAACTCGAACATCAGAGTTCATACGAAGGGTAAAACAGCTACTCCGCTCACATCTTAATAGTAAATATTTGTTTAAGACATTAAACACCTACGCATGATCCGTGCTTAGCTACTCATTTGGCATTATTAAGTGGACTAAAACGGATATAGAAACTCTTCAGAGAAAAGTACGAACACACCTCACAAAGGCACAAAAACACCATCCTCGAAGTGCGGTAGAAAGAACGACATTACCGCGGTATCTAGGAGGACGAGGACTTATTGATATAAGCGAGCAATTAGATAAACAGATTAATAATTTAAGAACTTATTTTCAGGTGCAGGCGGAGACATCTACTCTTCATCGCGTGATTTGCGCAGTAGATGATACAACACCGATCAAACTGAGGGAACAAGAAATGCGCATAAACCATCTTACTAAGAACGAAAAAATGCGCATCTGGAAACACAAGGTTCATTACTCGCCATTCAGGATCAGGTTATACCAACCAAAAATTACCTGAAATATATCGTTACAGGCTGAGCCATCTACTTTACATCGAGCAATTTGCACAGTAGATGATACGACGCCGCTTAAACTGAGGGAACAAGAAATGCGCATAAACCACCTGACTCAGCAAGAAAAAATGCGCACCTGGATGAGTAAACCTCTGCATGGGCGACATCTCAATGAGATCAACCAAGAATATGTCGACAATACAGCGTTGAACTATTGGTTGACATCAGGAAAGATGTTTCCCGAGACTGAGGGTTTCCTACTTGCTATTCAGGATCAGGTTATTCCAACTAAAAATTACCTGAAATATATTGTTAAAGATCCTCAAGTCCAAAACGACAAATGCCGATATGGATGTCAAGCCCAAGAAACTATGCAACATCTTACTGGAGGCTAGCAGGCATTTGCTGCAACTGAATATAAGGAACGGCATGACTCAGTAGGGAAGATCATCAATCAAGAGATAGCTCTTAAACTGGGACTTCTACAAACAAACCATCTCCCATATTATCAATACGTTCCTGAGTCTGCTTGAGAATGACAACTACAAGCTATACTGGGATTGCACTGGGCTCACAGACCAAACTGTAGCACATAATAGACCAGATCTCGTGTTAGTTAATAAACTAACAAGACAAACAACTCTAATCGATGTGGCGATCCCTAACAACAATAATGTGGGTGTTAAGTACAACGAAAAGATCGCCAAGTACAGAGATCTGTAAATACAAATAAGAAGACAATGGAGAATGGAAAGTAGCCAGACGATACCTATTATTCTTTCTACCACTGGAGTCATTCCGAAGAACCTCCTGGAAAACATAAAAAAGCTGGGTCTAAATGAACATCTATATAAGGTCATGCAGAAAGCTGTGCTACTTTCGACGTCTAGATTCGTGCGAAAATTTTTAGGAGATACACCGACATACCAAGTCACCTAGGACTCGATAACATGGAAAGAGTCCCACCAGAGCTCAATCCTTTTGATACCGTAAGTATCTGGAATAAGTGAATTTTCCCCTTAGAGGGAGTGTGAGCCGTATGGCTAAATCTGAGATAATAATAATCATAATAATACCCTGTGGGAGTTTTTATCAGTTCTTCTATCAGGCGCGGCCCCCTGCGAATGGGGGATGCTTTCTGGGTATCCGTAGCGCAGATACCCAGAGGGTAACAGGAATACCTGCCGTGGAACAAAAACTGACACCTGGCAGTAGGTATAAAATGTACACCCATGATAATGGAGTTTAATAATTTATGTTTAGGTTCGCTGCCTGGGGATCGCCAGGGCACGTCTGGAGCCGGCGCTGGACGTGACAGCATGCGGGACATCGGTGGCAGGGTATTGAGGAGGCGGGCCCCTGTCATACAATCAGCTACAACCCAACAACAACAACAACAACCACAAGTGAGCCAAACAACAACAAGAGCTCCACTCGCTGAAGGTGCTGCGCTGGAACATCAGCCGGCGCTCCCTTAAGCGAGACGACCGAGGCAGCGTATGAAGTGGACAGTGTCCATAAACGAAAATATTTTGCGCTTTTATTATAAGGTGACAAACCTCGGTCAAGAAACGATCGGCTATCGACAACAACTGTATGCCGAATTTTGCAGGGAGTATCCAGAAATCCAAGTATCTGAACAAAGAGTAGCAGATCAATACCAGGTAATTTTAAGAAACAATATTATTCCAGAGACTAGACGCGACATCATCAGACGCGAAATCGAACGGGAGATCCATAACCAAGAGCAAGTTACAGACCAAGTCCCTAATTAAATCCCTAATGAGCAGATTCCTGAACTTCTCATACAAGAAACTCAACCTAATAATACACAGCAGGACAATAACGAGTTGCACGATAGTCTGGTAAACGAAATGGCGCGCACCGTACAAGAGTTTAGTGGAACAAACCCACTTAGCAGACCACCTCTACCAAAAATAAATTCTTCCAAGAAACTAGGAGCACTGTTACAAATGGTGAATACTGAAGTCCTACCCAATTATATCACAGAAGCCCACACATTGGAATATTTGCATATGCTGATTTACTGTGCAACAACAGCAATTGCTAATGTTATGAGCATTAAGATCAGAACACGACGGGGTACCAACATCGGAAGGACTGGTAACAGAATAGCACCCTTGGAAAAACGACTGCTGAAGAAGATCGAATTACTGCGCAGGGACATTGGACAAATAACAGAGTACATAAGAGGAGTAAGAAGTAGAAAAATCATCAAAAGAGCTGAAGAAATATTCTTTAACACTCTAAGACACTCACAATTTGATCCAGAAAACAACACACCTCAACAATGCCTGGACACATTAAAACAAAAACTATTTGTTTACTCAGGCCGCCTGAGGAGATACAAAGTTAGTAACAACCGGAAATGCGACAATATACTTTTTAAGCAAGCAGAGAAAACTTTCTATAGGAAACTTAATTCCACTGTA